CCATTATCATCATCATCCACAACACCATTATCAGAAATAAATAGTAAGTATTCCTTTTGTGAATATTAATTATTGGGAAATAAAATTAATCTAATTCTATTCGTTTATTAGCAAGTGGTAGTAATTCAACGCCATTACCATCAGTCAACACAAACTCAAACGTGAATTCATCATCAAGTCAAGCAGTACCAACCGGAACAATCTCAACACCCGCAATCGCGGGACTATGTGCAGTCGGTGGTGCGATAATTCTGGCCGGCAGTTTCTTTGCGCTATTACGCAGAAAGAAGCATCAACACAAAACAGAAGCAATATTAGCTAAATCTGCAACAGCATTCGAAGTACAAAATAGCAGTTATGAGAAAATGGAGGAAGAGCCATTGGGCACCTACGAGGTAATCTCAACTTTCACACCAACACTTCCTGACGAACTGACTATTCAACCTGGTGATAAAGTCACCGTTTTGGCCGAATTTGACGATGGATGGGTGCAAGCTATCAACGATACGCGTGGCGGTGCTAGAGGGTTCTTCCCAAGACATTGTGTCGATATGGATAATTCTGGTCCTGGGTTCAAATCGGGAACTGGAAAACGTTCGAGTTCTATAAATGGCGGGTATCAGAATATCAATTTAAATTAATTAGTTGATTACATAAATTAAAAAATTCAATTGATTGATTAATTAAATTGAATTTTTAATTGATTAATTTAAAGTTGATCTATTATTATAATCATTAGTGATGATAATTTTGTCGTGTGATTAAAAATATATAGTAAACTTACTACACATTAGTGATATCTAATAATATAAAACGGGAAATGTTAATTCGAAATATTTAGATTAAATGTATAAAATTGACACTGAAACATAATTTACGTCAAAAACTTTATATTTCTTTCAATCACACATTTTCGAATAGATTTTGCAACAACTCACCAATCTCAACGAACAATATCAACTATTCATACATCAATCAAACAACATATAGAAAATAATTTTTCTTTATTATATCTAGTAGAAAAAAAATCATTTTAGACTTGGTGTATATTCTAACAACAAAAGCATATAAAAGCATTGTTTTTCATTTCATTTCGTTAATTAAGTATATTTGCTTTTTGAGTTTAAAAGTTTGTAATAGATTTGGCTGGCAAATTCATATATAAAGTCTGATTATGATTATATTGATCATGAGTTTTAAAAGTTCTGAATTCATGATTTTGAAATATTTATAATGATAGTTTATTTAAATATACCTTTATATATATTTAATTAGCAGAAGTAAAATAAGTACAAGTCAACCTCCCTATAACGATGCTTTTTAAACGGAATTCCTCTATAGCGACCAAATTTTCTAGAATGATTCATATATTACTATAGGAAAATTGACTTCTATATAATGACGTTCTCTTTATAAGGACGAAGTTAGTCTGGATATTTGATGTCGTTATAGAGAGGCTGACTTGTGCATAAACAAAAGAAATTTCTAAAGGATAAACTAGCTAAAGCAGGGACTAATAACTCGATTCCTATCCTATAAAAAAAATCTGAAAATTTAAAAAAAATCAGAAAGTCTCAAATTTTATCAAATATCTGAATTTATAATTTTTCTGATAAAAATTGTATTTTCAAAAAATAAATTAATTTTTTTATAATTTATCAAATACTTCTTTTAAATTGTATAAAAAAAATTAGTTATTAAATTTTAATAATTTTTTAAAATCTTGGAAATTTAAGATATATTAATAAATTTATATTTAATTATTTTGATATTTTTTTTGATAATTTTCTGTGCTTTTTCTTAAATTAACTGAAATCTAATATTTTATATCTAATAATTTTCTTTAATTTTTTTTATATAATTAGAATATATCATTTTTTTTAATAATTTTCTATATTTTTCTTTAAATAAACTAGAATATATTATATTATTTTAATAGTTTCTATACTTTTTCTTAAATTAAATCTTTATTTTTAAAATTAAATATATTTTTATTATTATAATAAATATCTAATTGATCTTTTTATAGTTATATTATTTAATAATTATATTTAAAAATACTTATCAAAATTAATTTAAAAAATATTAAAATATCAAAATTTAGAAATTATAGTATTAATAATTAATTAGTATTTTAATATTGGATAAATCTGTTATATTACTAAAATTTAAAAAGATTTATAATAATAAAGATGAATTATATTAATAATTAATTAATATTTTAACTTTGATATTATATTATTAATTAAAATTTATAAATTTTAATTATTATTCTTTATTATATTTTTTTTATTTATTTAATTTAAATTTTTTAATTATTAATAATTATAATATAAAAAAATAAAATTTATAATAATTATTTAAATTAAATAAAGCTTATAATAATTATATTAAATTAAATAAAATTTATAATAATAAAATTATATTAAATAAAATTATAAATATTATATTTTATTAATAATATTAAGTAAAAATTAATTTAATAAAACTTATTTTTATTAATTATATTAAATATAAAATTATTTTTTTATTTATTTTATTAAATGAAATTTACTTTATATTTATTATATTAAATAAAATTTATATTTTATTAATTAAATAAAAACTTATTTTATTAATTAAATAAAAACTTATTTTATATTTATTATATTAAATAAAATTTTTTTATTAATTAAATAAAAATATTATAATATTTTTATATTAAAATTAATAATAATAAATTTAATTTTAAATTATTAAATAGATAATCTTAATATATTAATTAAAAATAAAATTTATAATATATAGTGGCAATCAAAAATAATGCAATGCTTAAATTT